CTGTTTTTCAAGGTAGATACAGTGATACAAGCATTCAAGAAGCCTCACAGGGGAAGCTCAGGCACACAAGGAATTCAGATATCTGCAAAGCTGCATGTGCAGAATTTAAATTTTAGTTATTTAAATGCAAATCTGTAAAGTATCAGCTCAGCATCTAAGTTCTCCTGTGACTGGGGGCTCAGGCAGCTAGATGAAGGCAACAAGGGAGCTCTGGGGCACAACTGAAAGGTGCCCTAAAGTTCCTTCCAGCTTCCAGTTTGTGGCACTGAGTGGTCATATAAGGTCCATCCTGGCTGTGGCTTCTCTGAGGCTTGGTGGGATTCTGACATCCAGATTGTTGCTGCAGGAAGCTGCAAGCTCAGCTGAGGGGCTAGCAATAGTCATTATGGACTGTGGGGTTCAAATGCCAGTAGTCTAGTTTAAAAAGATCTTTTCCTAGGAGCTTATGCACAGCTATTTTTTCCCTCTCTTTGTTCTCCTTGTTAAGAGGGTATTTCTTTTCCTCTTGCAGAAGACACTTTCTCTTTTTTGGTAGATGGCAGTGGTGCTGTGTGAGCTCCTGCAGTGTCAGAGCAGTCCTTTATATTTTGGGCAGAGGAATGGATCTGCTCTCAGTGTCTGCCCCCAGCTGTACCATCAGTTCCTTCAGGGTGTGAGTCACTTTGTGTGCATGTCTCCATTTCTCCATCCCTGGGGGGGGCAGGACAGCAGTGTCTGTGTCAGGCACGTTGTTCCATGCTGCTGGCAGATCCTGCAGTGCCCATGGCACAGGGCAGGGCTCTGGCTGCGGAGCAGAGATTCTTGCTCAGAGGAACTTTCCATATGCACTCTGTTTTCCTATTGAAAGAGGGTATATCTTATTTAAAAAAAAAATCTGTCAGTTTGACAAGAGATTTGCAAGAGACACTCACAGTGACTAGGGTGTCAGGGCAGACTGCAATCCTGTCTTGGGTTAGGGAGAAGCTCGACAGAGCCAGAGCTGGTATCATGAGCTGGTATTCTCCAGTGAAACAGAGATTATTTTCCTTGGGAGACCCACAGGCTCTGGCTCACCCATTGCCTTTCTTCCCCTTCCAGTCACTTTTTAGATTATTTCACACCACGAGCTACTAAAAAGAACACAAGGGACACCCCACTTGATACACTAGTCTCTCCAGAGCATCTCCTGGGAAATTCAGGATCTCTATGTATCCAGCTGGCTGAAGTTGTTCTTCCACCATGACAGCATCTGTGATGGGAAGAGACAGCTTTGGAGTACCACTACAAGCCCTGCTCTCACCCTTCCTGTGCTGCAAAATGCCAGCTGACACCTTCCCTGCTGGGTCTTCCTGCACTTCTTTCCACCCTGCCCTATTTCCAGGTTCTTCAAAAGGACTGTGTAGGAACAGCAGTGACAGACAGTCACTGACAGCATCAGGATGGAGGACTCAAATGGAAAAGTTGCTAGTTCGTATCTAGTCATTTGAGTTACATAAATGTTCATTTTCACCTCAAAAAGCCTGCCAGAGGCAGCAGTCACACCTTTCCTGGGCCTGAGAGGTCTCACAGGTACTGGGAGCACCAGAGGACTTGCAGCTCCAACACCTAAATTTGTGAGACTCGGTAAAACATAAATATTCACCTTGACACAACTGTGACACTTAAGTCTAGCACTACAGTGATTTAAGACCTGAACACTGAGCAGCCAGCAGCCCTCAGCCTCCTGGCTGCAGCAGCATGGCACCTTCTCCTTCTGGGTGCATCTTCAGGATGAATTCTTCGCTCTAAAGCTCCCCTGCTATATACTTCCAAGGAATGTAGCCATGGTTAATATTTATAAACAGCAAGGATTTCTACCCTACTTCAGCATTCATTATAGGTGCAGTGATTCAAACCTCCAGCATAGACAGGAACTGCCTTGAGCTGAAATTGAGCAACTATCTAATAAAATATAGTCATGAGATGAATAGGAGTTATACAGTTGAAGTGCCTTGAGGATGCTTGAAAGATTTATTTCCTGGCTTCCTCTGGAGGGCTCTTTAGTAGGGAGGATTGGACTCTGTGTGTGTATATATATCCATATAAGAACGAAAAATATTTTAAAGTCTTAAGGGGGTGGCGGGGGAAGGGACATTTGCACTTCTTGAGGTGCTACAGAGAAAGCATTCTTTATTTTCTGTGGACCTGCTGTATTTACAGCTGCTGAATTTCCTGTATGAAAACAGATGTGAGTGCATCATTCACAGTCTTACAGGCAAATTTGCCACACAGTTGTGGTACATGCAGGGAGACACTCAAAGCTGTAGTGCGTGAAGACTGCACTGCTATGTGAGACGTGGGTAGAGATTGTTTGAGCTCAGATGAGGAAGAGGCTGCTGGAGAGGATTCTGTGGCCAGACTCAGATTAAGGAGAAATAAATAACAATTAACAAAATACATTATGTTACTTCAGAGCAACATCTCCATGGCCTGAAATAGAGAGCTCAGTAATCATTTCATACTCTCATATCCCTTTGATCTCTATGCCTGTCTTACCACACACCTCTTCTGTCTCAGATGCAACTCCTCCATTGCTCCTAGGATCCTTGCTCCAGAGGCTGGGAGTAGGGGGGAAATCAGGCAAGGAAATTCCTAGGGCTCTTCTCCTCAACCTTTCTAGGCTGCATATATAAAGCAGTGACAATTAAAAAACAGAGGAAGTGTCCTGATGCGGTTCGTTTTGAGGTGGGGCACCCCGGGGATATCCCCGGTATTTTTCCCCTCCAACTCTGGAATTTTTTTCTCCGTTAAACAGGTCAGCTAAAAATATATAGATAAATAAAAAATACACATGAATAAGTGCAAAAAGGTAAAATTTTATATGTATTCTATTATAACAAAAATATATAAAATAGCCCAAGAACCAGAATTACATTCTTGCACTTTTTCCCTTCTTCTTTCTAATTTTTCTCCTGCATTAACAAAAAAAAAAAAAAAATGGAATACAACAGTGTCCCATTGCTGCCAGCCAGAAGAGAGAGCCATTCCAAAGGGCTCTCTCTAGAACATGGCTCTGATTCTGGCTCAGGGGGGAATACAGCCTGTCTGACCTCCTTAATCCTCTCTTATCAGCTGTTATTACCTTAAATGCAAGAAATTACGTGATACAGGACCTCAGAAGTTTCCATCCATGCTCTCCAAATACCGCTGTAAAGATGTTCCTTTGTCACCCCACAGGATTTTAAGTTCTCTCATAATTTTCTTCCTTTTCTCAAGCCTGCAATGTGCCTCCCAAGTAATGCTTCTCCCTTGTTTACCTGACTTTGAAACACCTTGTTCCCAGACCCTGCTGACATTAAGATCATCATTCTTGATGCACATCACCTCAGAACTGGGCAAGCCGATGACTGAATTGACCTCCTTTAAGAACAACTCATCCTATCCTAAGTGACCTGAACAAAGTACAAATAATCCTCTCTCTTTCTCTCTCCCCCTCTCTAGGGAAGATAGAACTCAAGTTTCCTCCAGCTCTGTAATTTCTGGGCAGACACAGGAGTGAGCCCACACCTAAATTTAACCCTGCATTCAGACCCAGCCCTCATATGCTATGGTAACAGGAGTGTATCTAGAGAGAGCTGGTGAGCCACCCTCCACTTGAATTGCACCTTTTGTCATCTCCTTGGCATGTAAAATACTGCCTTGCATTCATGTGCTGCTCATGTGGGAGTAACCTGGGGCAGTCTGAGCATAGGAAAATCTGTACATGTAGGAAAAGAAGTGGAATTGCCTTGAGCAAGACAACCTCATTTGACCCTCCTCCTTCGTTTACAGTTGGTGTTTCAGCTGAGACAGAGAGGAATGAGGGGACTGAGGCTAAGGCCAGATGTTTGCATCAGGCACACAGGAGTTGAACAGGTTTTCTCCATGCCTTCCTGCCAGTGCACATTAATCCTGAGCCACAGTGCCCTCTGTCATTCCAGCTCTTGATCCTTTTCCTTGATTCTTCTATTTATACCTTCTGAGCTGCGGTCTCCTTTCTTGTGTGCCAGTTTTACACCAGTATAAATTCATGGATGTCTGTGGATTTGTTACTGGCTTACTCTCAACCATAAAAAAAGAAAATTAGATTCATCACTTATAGGTACCAAATGGCGTATCCCCTATCCCTTGGGTTTGTAAATACTCCTTGTTTTCCTATTTTTCATCAGTTTGTTCCAACACACATCAGCCTGCTGTTATTTTGGTGCTGTATTCCCAAAATACACCCCATGATGCTGCTGCTGCTGAAGCTGTGTCAGGGACAGTAGATACCTGCAGTAGATACCTGCAGCCTCCTCCATGCTGAGTCAGGGCTGTGTTCCTTGGCCCCAGCATCAGCCCGGAGATATCTATCAGTAGCCTTTTATTTTTCTCAGATTCAGCCTTTCTTTTTCTCAGCTGAATGTGGAGACATTCAGCCTGGCTAGTGTAGACTGTCCTTAGGGTTGTTTAGCGTTCCTCAAAGTTCCATTGAGGAGAGCCAGTTATAGGTTTGGACCTTTCTGTTATCCATACTGGCCAAATGGAGGAAAAGGCCAGGACTTGTCTTGCCTAGAACTGAAATCTAAAGGCAGCATGGTGTGTTCTTAATAAAGGAGTGATTATATGAATCACAGTAGCAAAATGTTCTTGCAGAGCTCATGCCCCACTCCCTGACTGCAGTGTCTGAGGGCATCTGTCCATCATTCCAGGGGAGGGATTTGCCTCGGACAGGGGTTAGTTAGTGTTTAGCCCCCTGTGTTACAGAGGCGTAGCTACAATTCCACAGTCTCTTTTAATGAAGTTACTTGTGGCTGTTTATTGGACGAAAATAAATTCCAACTGGCCCATATAACAAATGAAACTCAACTACAAAAATGTAATGATATTTATTCACCCAGCTGCCAGCAAACTCACATGCACTATGAGTCATTCCAGATGTGGATAAAAACAAAGTCTGTCTGTGAAAGTAAGTTTCCTGATCCCGAGGAGACTTGGTTTGGGAGAGGAGCTGTAAGCTGACTTCAGCTCTACTCAGAAGAACAGGCAGGTTCTTCTGCAAAGGGGGAGGGGGAGAGGAAAAGCCATAATTTATTCCTGAAAAGAAAGGAGCTGGGAAAATAAAAAAGCTACTGTACAGCTAGACATACGCATTTTAAAGAGAAGGATGCTTTGGAAGACTCTGGTACTGCTGCTGTTCTATTACAGTGCTGATGCCACTGTGACCCACAGATGGAGCAGAGGTAAGATTTCAACCTGCAAAACTATTTAAGAGAAAAATTTCAGTTGTAGATTTGGTGTCAAATTATGTTGCATTATACATGTGTGTATGTATATACATATATATATATATATATATATATATATATATATATACACAATTATATTTTTCCCCTCCAACTCTGGAATTTTTTTCTCCGTTAAACAGGTCAGCTAAAAATATATAGATAAATAAAAAATACACATGAATAAGTGCAAAAAGGTAAAATTTTATATGTATTCTATTATAACAAAAATATATAAAATAGCCCAAGAACCAGAATTACATTCTTGCACTTTTTCCCTTCTTCTTTCTAATTTTTCTCCTGCATTAACAAAAAAAAAAAAATATAGCTTATGAAACCTTAAAGTGAAAGCCTGTGCAGTCACAGGTGACATAATCTGCTCTAGAAGGAAGATACCTGGCAATAGTAAAGCAAAGAATGCCTCGATGGTGCAAGGTGCCTGGGAATGCTGCTGCCCTACCCTGGTAGCACAGGTAGCACAGAGGAATTGACCTGATGTGTTATCAGGCTTCAGCTGCCAATGTGACAATACACAGTCTTGCCATATTTGTAATTTTTTAAAGTGTGACAGCAGCCTATGGAATGTTTGGGTACTATTGGATGGCATAGGAGATGCTTTCTTCAAAGCTAGTGATGATGTCCTTTCCCTTTTTTTGATTTTATTCTCTCCTCTGGTATTTGGCACTGGTTCAGGAGCTGCTGGAAGTGGAGAAAGGAAACACCTCCCGAAAGATTTCTTTGGTTCTGATATTAAGATTCACAGACATTTAAAGGAACCAGAGTCTGCTAAAAAAATAGAGCATTTAAATGCCTCCCTCCCTACTCCAGTCTCCTCATTGTAGCTGGTACCATTCCAGTCTGACATTTGGGTTTGGTTTTGATTTCAATTTTGTAGGAGAGGGAATGGTTGAGGGAACTAATGAAGAGCTACAGAGTCCAGCTCAGGTTGCTTAATTTTTGCTTACAATGCTTAATTATTCCTTTTAAAAAATCCCTGTTAGTGGGAGCTTACTGGCAGGGCTTTGACCTGGGACTCACCATGGCAGGTTCTTTCCACAAACTTTTCTTTTTTCATCAGACTCTTGGCTGATATTGCATGAGTCATTGTACCTGCATGTACCTTGTTTTTCTCTCTGGTATAAGACTGGAAATAGCACCAATATTTGTCATAAGATCCTGTAATTCTGTAGGTAAGAATTTGTTGTTCCAGGGGTGACACAAAAATGTGAGAAAATCAGAACTATATATATTAATTTAAAAAAAACCACAGCCCCACCCTTTGGAAGAATGATGTCACATTGCCTAAGAAATGGGAAAAAAAATAAGAAAAAGGAGTTCAATTTCATGTAATAATCACTATTCACTTTTAGGATGTCCTTCACTTTTGCTAACACACTTATTTTAATTAAACAACATCACAACCCTAAAAGGAATTAATGCAACTATTAAAGTTCAATTTTAATCACCATGAATATTTAAAGAAAAACATCAGAACTCTATTGTGCCTTTTGGGAAAGCAGATTTTTTTTCAAGCTGGAAGCTTTGGAGATTTCAGAGGGAAGAGAAGATTCATTCCCTGTTGTGATAAGGAGTCCAGTTGTCACAAATAGTGTGTGTAGACATTTTCTGAGGAGGAAAACTGATTTTTTTTCCACATCTACTGGGACTATTCTGCTCTAAAGATGTTTTAGAGGCACGACTCCTTCAGCAATAACTGCTTCAGTGAACCTCCACTCCCTTGTACTGTGTGTCAACCCAACCAAATCTGCAGTACCTTGAGAGGGTCCAAGCACTGTCTTAATTTTTGAATTGCTTAGAAACCTAGGATGAAATTTGAGTACTGAGTAATGACACATTCTGCTGCACACTCAGAGCTCTTCCCTCCCTCCCTCCCTCCCTCCCTAAATGACAACTGAGCCTTGTTTAGGTTAAACTTCAGTCATTTAAGTCTTATCTGAGTCCTGATTTGAGTTTTGCAGTGAAAAGGCAAATACAGATCAGCATCTGGTCTGAGGGAAATGAAAGACAGATCTGTGTATCATCTCATGTTGACTTGTCATCCAGATTGTTTACAAAACAGTAGGGCAAAGGTCTTGCTTTAATTGCCAGCAGTTGTTGTTTGCAGTAGAAATGAGCAGTCAGTATTGTATACAGCAATGTCTGGCTTTGACCATTTTTCCATGGGAAGCACTGGGGCAGCCTAGGATCCCCAGCCCTTGTAACCAGTCATTCAAGCTTTGGCTCAAGAAGAACTCGGACATGTGAAAAGATGAACACACTTGTGCTGACTGGGAACTCCCAACTCCCTTTTCCCTTTGCTTGGAAGCATCAGTGAGTGGGGGAAAAAAAAAAAAAAAAGAAAAAAAAAAAAAGCATTTCTGGCAGGAAAACAGAGGGCTTTATTCATTCCTTTTTCTTTTTAAACTGTCTCAGCCTTTTGCATTAAAAATCTCACACACACTTCTCAGCCTGCCTTGACTGAGCAGTGGACACGGGTCCAGAAGTCACAGGCAAAACTTACTCCCTAGGATGGGTGTGTTTAAAATAACAAAGAAAAGATCCTGAATGATGATGAAATAATTTTCTTGTCATCACCTCAAGTTTCCTTGAGCCTTTTTTAGGCTTAGCTTCATGGAAGTATCCTCTCAGATTTTGTGAACCTCCTGTCTAGGGAAAAAACGTAAAGAAAAAAGGAAATTAAAAGTCTCTACTGACTAAGTATTATTCCCAATGCAATGGCAGAGGTGAAGTTATATAAATTCTTCAAGTTCCAAATAAGAATTCCAGATTTTAAGACACATTTCTTCTGAAGAAACCAAGGAACAAACAACAAGAATAAGCAAAAAAACCCCTTCCATGCAGCTATGGCAACCAGTGTCACTGCTTGCTGGTTGCTTCCATCAAACTTTGAGAAGTACCAATCCACTGGAGAGCAGAAGCTAGCATTATGAGCATTACAAGAGTTGTCTGTTCCCTGAGGAGAAACCCTAAGGCAATCCTTACTAGCACATCTCAGCTGGTAAGAGTTTATTTGCTATAAATGCTGCCTGATTCTAATAAATGGGACACACAAACAGTAGCATTCTTGCAGGGTGGGAAGATGCAGATTTCATATGGTTGTGGTTTTTGGACAGTGCAGGAGAAGCTGCAAAGGTGAGTTCACCCCTCCGTGGAAGCTGGAAAAGGAAATGTTGAAAGACACAAAATAAGGTGGAATGCTTTTCACCCATCAGTGTCAAAAGGATATATCAACACCACAGAGGTCTCATGCTTTTGGGGAGTTTTTGTGCTGCTCCTACCAGACCTCGAAAGCATCACTACAGTCCCATCAGATCTATCTGGTCCATGTGCATTATTTTCTACCCAGTCTCTGGTGGACGGTGAAAGTGAAAGGGCTGTTTGAGAGCACCAGGGAAACAGTCTGCTCTCCTTAAAGGTTTTCTGCAGAAGGAATTGCTTGAAAGAACAAAAGGTCCATCCTCTTTAATTTCCCCATGACATTGCAGACTCTCAGTATTTGCTCTGGTGTGGTGGGAGCTCAGTTTGTGGGTTTGGTGGAGCAGCTGCTGCCTGAGCAACTTTGGACTGCTACTTCTGCTTGTGGATTGAGCAGGCTGGTAGCTCTCCAGTGCCAGGAGAGGGAAGACTGTGTAGAAGAGAAAGAGAGACTGGGTGTTGCTAGAAAGCCAGTCAGTACTTTTGTAAGGAAGCACTGTTTAATATGTTCTAATCTCAGTGGTCATTTGGTTGCTGGTGATCTCTGCTGTGTGTGCAAAGATCGAGTGCCCCAGAACTTAGAGAATGCCCTTTATCCCCATTCCTTTTCATCCTATTTCCCTCTCTTCCCTGCTGCATCTCATATTGCATCCCTACAGCCAGGCACTCCCTGCTTGAGCAGCTTCTGGATTCCACCACAAGCAGTAACTCTTGGGTGGATCTTTTGGCTTGGAGAGCATGAGCAAAGGGAATGTGGCCTGAACACAGCCTGTAATTGCAACAAAAATTGTCAAACACGTACACATTTAGGTACCAAGGGGTCAGTAAACCAGGTTATGGTCTGTTATTTGATATGTGACAAGGTTTCCAGAGATCTCGTCCAAGCGTAAAAAGAGGTTACATCAGCTGGTCCAGCTACCAGAAATTTTTAAATTGGAACATCTATCCCACTTCTTTTAATTTCTATAAATTTCTATTAATTTATATAAAGACTTTGATATCCAATTCTTAAAATGTGCAGTGCAAATGAAAGAGACGAAATGCTAAGGAACAGCACCAACTTTGTCTAAGCCTGGCTGTGAAAAGAATGTTACTTCTTATAAGGAAAATGCAATATTTCCCTTTCCTCTGGCTCTCATGTGATCACTTGGAAGACTGCCTCAATTGCCCCAACTTCCCTGCTTGTTGGGCCCATTCCAACAACCTCACTGGAGCTACAAAAGGCGATTGATCTCCTGCAGAGGTTTTTCCCGCCTACCCAGAGTTTGTTCTGTGAGTCTGACCAGTTCCTGGGAATGCATGTTTGTGGGCTGGAATCCCCTGATGCAAATTATTTATGCACCAAGTATTGCAACTCTGTCTGTAAGGAGATGAAGGCATCTCCTAAAGAAGGTCTGGAGAGGGATTAGTTATTAGTAAAGCTGCTTGGTGTTGCAAAGGTAGCTGGAATATCACAGTCTCTGAATGGATTTTAACCATGGTAGGATAAATATCCAGTAAGGCAGGGCTATGACTATAATCAAAATCTATTCTAGAGTGTTCTGATTCCCCAAATGCTCCTTTAGGGCCAGACTTAATTAATTTAACCTGCATGGAGGATGATCCCTGAGTCAGAATTCACAGTAGATACCTGAACCTGAAAGACATGCAAAGGATGCTTAAAAAAATAAATCAAAGTTTCCAATCTCTTCTAAGGCAAAGATGCTAAACTCTGATGAGATCAGAGGGAAGATAGATTATGG